CTAATTATCTCCCAAACTATTAATGTTAGGTATCGAACATATGGGATATAAAAGATGTAAAATGAGACATCGAAGACGACTAAGCAATAAAATATGGGGGATGCTATTTAAAAACATGAATTTATGGTACTTCCAAATTTCGAAAAGTTAATGTGCCATAGTAAAGTAACCAAACGTTCTAGACAGCCGTTCTCGCCACCAAAACATACTCCATCATGTTGCTTAAGCATGTTCTGAATCCTAAATTGATATCCCAAAAATCGAGTGTTCTCTGATTTTTTGAACAAATGTCTGCTGGAGCAGATTTTTCTAGAAAAATTCGAATAACTCGAGAACGGCCGAATCAAATTGCAAAAAGTAAAGTTATTCATAAACCTTGAAAATAAACAAATCCAAATATGTAAAAATATACAGGTTGTTCCATTTAAAAAAAAAATACATTTTGTGTCGTCACACTTTTTTCGACCACTCCGTATATGCGAAAATATTTTCCAGAAATACATTCATATACAGTGTGTCCACGGATAGGTGAAACGACTCTTATAAAAGGTAAATTTTTTTAGATATTAATTGTCATTTTTTGTGGTTTAGCCCTGCTTGATTAAAGTAAATGCGACTATTCGGGGTGTACGGTCCAGGTTTTAATTAAAGAAACAACTTTTTAAAAAGCTAATATTTCGGTTATTTATTGTAACCTTCCTCAGAGCATTTTTTAAAGGTAAAGACATCTTGTACGCACGTTGATTCATCCAGTTGTGTTAATAGTTCGCTCGATCCTTTATGATCCGTTAATTATGATGATGTTTTTCGGTTGTTCTACAATTGTTAGTTTCAAAAAACAACAATAAAAAATGCTCTGAGGAAGGTTACAATAAATAACCGAAATATTAGCTTTTTAAAAAGTTGTTTCTTTAATTAAAACCTGGACCGTACACCCCGAATAGTCGCATTTACTTGTTGCTCACTTGTATCAGTCGTAGATACTTCTTTTCTGCTGCTTGATTAAAGACTAATTTTGAACATATTTTCAATTTCAATTTTCAATTTTGACACTGAAAGAGGAACGCTTTTTGTGGCAGGTAAAGTACCTTTTCTGTTGACAGTACGTGAAAGTGTTACTAAGAAGTTTTGTTCAGAATGAAAAACTATGGCCATATGCAAATTTTCGGAACGATCAGCCTACTTTGAAAAAATCCATATCAAACAATTTTATTTTTAACAAAGACTGCCATGGAAAAACAAAATTGCTTTCCTGTTACTGTTAATCTGTAATTTAGTAAACTTAAACTGTTTTTTAAGTACAATGTTAACATTAGAGGAAAAAGTTTATGTGATTCAGTGTTATGGAACCGGGGAAAAACCGATAAATATGGTTATTGCTCTATTTAGTGGAAAATTTTCAAATACTGGAATTAAAAGAAGTACTTGTTGGCTTTTAATCAAAAGATTTCTTACAGCAGGAAGTATTCACTCTAAGAAAAAAAAATTATGATGAAACTTATTAACTGTTTTCTTTTGTGGGCGAACACACACTTAATTTTTTGTGAACATTTTAAGAACGGTTTGTTTATTTCTCCCGAATAATCTGAATCTCAAAACAAAAAATTCTAATAAAGTACTATTGACGAANTCCAATTACCCTTAAATTTTATACGGTCAATGTACTTTCAGCAAGACAGTTGCCCAGCTTACCATTCACACATTGTGCCAAATGGTTAAATTTACAATTTCGTCAAAAATGTATTGAACGAAATGGCCCTATTTGATGGCCAGCCCGTAGTCCTGATCTTACAATTGTGGATTTTTATTTTTGGGCACGATTGAAACAAATTGTTTACAGTGAACCAATACAAGATGATGCAGGACTATTAAAACTACGAATAATTAAAGCGATAGAATCTCTATCACTGGCGGAAATTCGTACTTCTTATAAAGAATTTAGAAAATGTGTGCCGAATTGGGAGGGAATTTCTTTGAATGAGGATTTGTTCACTTACAAATAAATAATATTTATTACTTACGTAGTGTGTTATTACATAAATTTACATTTAATAGTATATTATTATATGAGCATATAATGAGGGCTATTATTCACGAAGGTTAAGTTTATGTCACGTGCGTAGCGAGTGGCATAATTAACCTGAGTGAATAATAGCTCATTATATGCGAGTAGAATACTATACTTTGTCCATGACTATTGAAATTGATTCCATAAATTTATTTTTTAAATAAATTTTTGAATAAAGGTTAAACGTCAATGTGACACAAATTCAATGTTACTAACTGTAACCAACTTCACAACAATTTGTCAAAATTAAATGTCAGTTTTATAANAAAAAGTACTTGTTGGCGTTTAATCAAAAAATTTCTTACAGCAGGAAGTATTCACTCTAAGAAAAACAATTATGATGAAACTGATTAACTGTTTTCTTTTGTGGGCGAACACACACTTAATTTTTTGTGAACATTTTAAGAACGGTTTGTTTATTTCTCCCGAATAATCTGAATCTCAAAACAAAAAATTCTAATAAAGTACTATTGACGAAAATAATAAACAATGGGTTTTATCAAAGTAGGCCGATGATTCCGAAAATTTGCATATGATCACAACTTTTTATTCTGAATAGAAATTCTTAGTAACATTTCACCATACTGTAAATAGAAAAGGTACTTTACCTGACATACAAGAAGTTTTTGCTTTAGTGTCAACACACCCTTGTTTTTTAAAATTTGAAAATATGTTCAAAATTAGTCTTTAACCAAGCAGGGCTGAATCCCAAAAGATGACAATTATAATAGAAAAAATTTAACATTTTATAAGACTCGTTTCACCTATCCGGGGACCACTGTATATAGTACAAGTCTGCGTTTGAAGGAAATTCCTAACAAAATTGGTATAGGCGCTATGGATGCCTGGGGCACTGTTGCAGGACCTGTATAACACTTGTTTTTTGTTGTTTCTTTTGTTATTTGTTTGAAAGAATAAATTATTTTTTTACGCCAATATATTTTAAACATCATAAATAAGTCCTCCATAGTAATTAATCCCATAAATATGAACCATGCCACGTTACAGCCGTCAGACTGAATTTGCCGTGTATTTAAAAGCTTGTTCTCAGATAATTCTCAAAATCGAGAATATTATCCTATTTTGTTTCCTCGAGAATTTTCCNCGTCAAAAATCAATTGTATAACGAATAGATAATTCAATAGTTGTAGATAATAGTATATTATTCAACAAGCGTATAATGGCGGCTGTTACCCACGAAGATAAAGTTGCAACACGAGCGAGCGAAGCGAGCGAGTGTTGTAAGCTGAGTGGGTAACATCCATTATACGCAAGTTGAATACTATGCTTTATCTACAACTATTTAATTATGAAAAAAAATAAACTTGATAGACATTTCAGACAGATTGAATAACCTCAATATAAGAAAGCTGTCATTTCTGTTAGTATTTTATTTTTTGATTAGTAGGCCGTGTCAGAACTGGGGAATAATGGCTTCATTATTCAACACTTTGTCAGTCATGAGTGATGCGTATCATTACCCGTCAAAAATCAATTGTATAACGAATAGATAATTCAATAGTTGTAGATAATAGTATATTATTATATGCGAGTAGAATACTATACTTTGTCCACGACTATTGAAATTGATTCCATAAATTTATTTTTTAAATAAATTTTTGAATAAAGGTTAAACGTCAATGTGACACAAATTCAATGTTACTAACTGTAACCAACTTCACATCAANACATCATAAATAAGTCCTCCATAGTAATTAATCCCATAAATATGAACCATGCCACGTTACAGCCGTCAGACTGAATTTGCCGTGTATTTAAAAGCTTGTTCTCAGATAATTCTCAAAATCGAGAATATTATCCTATTTTGTTTCCTCGAGAATTTTCCACCTCTCGTTTGGGGTAATTAATCTCATAAAAACAAATTATAATTAATTTCATACATTAACATGATAAACGCAATAGAAAAAAAGGAGATAAAATTTGAAATATATAAAGATATAATCTATTAAATTAATATTTTTAAATAAATTCGATATTACGTTATTATTAAATCGCTTAACAATTCAAAAACGTGGGAGTGAGACAAGATTGATCCCAAAAACCATTAAAATCCTGATTAAACAATACGTCTTAAAGTTCTTTTGTTAAAGTAGATTATAAATAAATGCTCAAATCGTTAAATCAAAAATATTTCATTACTACCGCGTAACGACAGAATGAAGTGGTTCGTATACACAATCGGTTTAATCCTTTTAATTCAAACTGTTGCCGGAGAAGTATGCGGTAAGAATTTAATTGTTTAGAAACTTATTAGTTTTAGAGTCGAAATCTTTGAATTAAAATTTATTTCATTTTTTTTTAGATCCAAGCGATAATTGTGATGAAACACCGGAACCTGTTAAAAGCGGTGTCGATTTTGTAATATTTCCATTCAGACCAATATTCGACATCGTTCACCAAGTTTTAAAAGGATTCTCACAATCCCTTCTATTACGCCCCATAAAATGGTTGTTAGGTATGATTGCAATGCCGTTCAAATTGATCAGATGGATCATCTATTTACCGATGCATGTACTTTTGGCGCCTATTCGAGTCGGATTAAGCATCTGTAAGAGCCTTTTCACTGTAACCCGATTAGTTACATACATTCCGAAGAAGTTAATAATGATACCAATACACACCATCATATCACCAGTGATAACAATCAAAGCAATTCTTAAATTGCCGATAAGAATTATCGATTTATTGGTGCGGGCCTTACAGGATCCGCGAAAAGCGTTATTAGGTCTCGTTTCGGATATAATTAATATGCCCTATTTACACTTTATACCGCCGTTAGCAATCTTGTGGATGATATTTATCCCGATCGGTTGGATATTTAAATATTTGTTCTGTTAATTGCGCTTGATTTAAGAAAATTTATGTAACATAAAAATTGAGATTGATAAAACGAATTTTTATTTTCACTTACCTGTAACATCTCCTTTCAAAAGATGAACAACATGCAAATAATTCTTTGGATTAACCATAACGATTTCGTAGGCGACGTTCAGCGTGTCCGTAATATAGGAACTGACTTGATAAAGATACTTTTTCAATAAACTCTCCGCGGCGTTCAAGCAACCAACATCGTCAGAATAAATCTTCCCGATCAATAACCGTTGGAAACGTATCAACAAATCCAAACTTGGAGTTGTCACCGAGTTGCTGCTTTTTTCTGTCGTCGTCGGTACCTTAGACGACGAGCGAAACTCTTGCAACCTTAAACGAGTCAAAGAACTCGAATTTCTTAGTAGCTGCTTAACGAGATGAAGGAGCGGAATCATCGTATGAGTGACGCGCGACTCAAATTTATCGTCAGACTCTGATATTTCCATTAGTTCAGTTCTAAGAGCTTCTGAGAGTGCCGTTTCTAATCCGCCATCAGCCATCAAACTCCAAACTAGTAAATTCGTCATGAATCTTTGACCACCGGTTAAATTACTTGCTTCTAGACCAGCATTTGGTAATAAAGAGCTTAAGGTTTGGGCACGTTCATTTGCTGTTGGCAACAAAACACTCCATCCGGCTTGTAATGTGGATTGGGCAGCATGTTGGACCGTCGATAATACCCCAATAGAACTGGCCAAATAAACAACACGAGATTTTATGCTCCCAAGAAGTTTACTTCCGGGACCGAGTCCGATTATTTTTACGTCGATGTCGTTCGATATGATTGAATAAAGCTGAAAAAAAATGAAACAATTTAATAAATGTGTTATATTAATGTATTGAATTAAACAATTAATATAAACACACCTAATTAGTGATTAAATATTAACCTTTTTGTTAATAATCATATTGTTGATGTACTCAACAGAAGGTCAGGCCTTCTGATAAATAACGAAAAATAATAAATTCGGGAACTAATCAACGAAAATTAACCCAAGTATATTACACAGCCATATGGTAAATTGACTATTATCATTTGGCTCGTTAATATTATCTCGATGCAGAAACTAATTACACTTATGCGCTTTGGTATTATCCTTTAGTCGTAGTTATCCAATTCAACTTAACGAGTGTGCTTCTCTTTCAAGTACCCAATTATTATGATTTCCTTTAAATATTTAACTGTTCTTAATACTAGGACATTCTTAATACTAGGACTAGTTTTTCACGGAGGAATAGTTTATGGCAAGGCAAGTACTTTTTTTACTTCTATGTTTCAAATATTTTTTGATAATAATGTATTATATTAAGAGGCGCCCAACATTACAAATCAATTTTTATACAATCCTGCTGATAGTTTGTATATAAAGGTGTGGTTTATGTGATTATTATTATTGCTGCCGGGCTGAGGGGAGCGGCCACTCTCGTTACCGCGACCTATAAAATCTATTGTAAGTTTAACCCTCCAAAGGTTTAGGGTAAATGTAGGTCCTTGATGAACCTTAGTATTGCCCTGAGGTCTTGAACCTTTATGTCAGTAGGTGTCAAGATAGTTTTACCGAAAATTTGGTGTCTTAGACGGCCTCTGGCGACGTAATTGTCGACAAGTTTGGTCCTCAGGTTGTCCAATGTGGAAGAAGTGGTATTTTAGGGGCGCATTCTCTTTGGTTTTGTTTTGCGACGTTATCATACTCTTCGTTATCATACTCTTCGCTTGTCTGTGACCTGGAAGTTCTTTCCAGCGTAAGGCTACCTTTGAAACCTCCCAATTGTTGATTATTGGTTTTAGGTGGCTTTATTGTAGTCCACAGCCAGGTTGGGATCCAGTGAAGGGCGTGTTTGCTGCTTCTTTGGCCAGCTTGTCCTTCTCATTGCCCTCAATGTTGCTGTGATCTGGAACCCACCATAGGGTAATATCATTGCCCCTAGTGAGTTCTCTCAGGTTGCTGGTAAGCCTGAATTGCCTTTAAGGCAGCCCGACTGTCTGCGAAAATGTTTATGGATGCACCTTTCTGTAGGTTCAAAGCGGTGCAGAAGTTTATAGCAAGAACTTCTGCTTGGAAATTTGTTATGTCCAAGCTGAGTGGCAGGTTAATGTGGCTGTTTGGTCCACTGATGCCCATACCTACTCCGGATGGTTTATGTAATGGTGATAATCGAGTTAACTTATAAACATAATTAACCACTTTAAAATCTTCCAAACTAAGATGGACTAAATATTCTTTGCAACGTTGTTTCACAAACAAAATCTTAACGTTAAATCAAGGGAATGAGAAGGCCACAAATATCCCTATTTTTTGAGTAATGTCTCTAAAAACAGTAAATAGTAGAACAAGAACATTTCTACATTAAGATCTATCGAGTGTGCTTGCAGATATCTTGTTACATTTCTTTATTGTTCCAATCGAAATCAGCAAAAGGAGTGTACTAAATATTTTACACGTTGATTTACTCAGCTAACCTAATCAACCCATCCCAAAGCAACTCGATCAGAAAGTAGCCCGATTCCAAAGAAATTCAACCTCAAAGTCAACCAATTCAACTGCAAACCCACTCAACCACAAAGTAAACAGTTTTTACAAACTTGCTACAACAAATATACAGGGGGAAACAACTGAAGAAAACTAATGCAGTTCTTCCGTTCCTCAGTTATGATTAAATTATGAATCACATCTTTTGAACATATATGGATAAGATTTCAATTAAATTTAATCCAATAAAATAAAAATTCAATTTGATTGGTTAAACATCCACGTTTTTATTTTTAATTATTAATTTTTTAGATTTGGCCAAGCGGTTGTGGCGATGATTATCCCAGCCAATCTAGTACTTGCTATCGAGAACAAAGAGATATAACCTATCCATACGAATGTCCTTACAAAGACGTCCAACCATTAAACGAGTACAACAATCTCATCAAACAACTGATCAAAAAAGAAGGCTATAAGATTTGGGCAAACGTCCACGCTCATCCAATTTACGACTACTATCAATGGGCCGAAATCGGAGACGATTATGGAAAATTATTTTCTGGACTTTCAGCTAATAATGGTGAATGTATAGTTTTAACAGGAGAAAACACATTTGAACAGCAAAGTGCGACGATAAAAATACAGCAATATGTGCTTACCCCGTAAGTAGAAACGTGCAAAATTATTGCGAACAATACAATGAGATTTGCAAAACGACAAGTGATTGTCATTGTCTAGCAAGAAAAGGTCTTTATTGTGAGACATCCTGCAACGGGAAAGAAAGCACATCAGGATGTTCATCTTGTGAAGAAAAATTTGAAAAGTACCCGAATCCGACTATAAATTTAGAATTAAACGAGAAAACAATAATGGTTACGGTTCAAAATATTTTAAAATTATATTTTATAACCAGTACCAACGTTATTTATTGTTACACGGATGTTTTTGAACCTTCAGAGACGTTAATAAAATTAAGATACGTAGACTGGCAACTACAAAATTCAAAAATTTCTGGGGATGTGGCTACTTACACATTTCAAATTAAAAGTAATTTAGGTCCTGGTCAATATTGGTGTGAAGGATTTTTATACCCAGAAATGAATACTATTACTAGCAATAAAATAATAGCAGGAGATGGTGATTACCAGTTTAACTTCGTCTTAAACGTCACGATAAATACTTTATCAACATCCTATCAAAAATTACCATATAATTATCACACAAATACCTTAAAAATCGTTAAAACCTATTTACATGAAACAAAAATATTCACAATGCGCCCAATTGGAATCTCAGAAAATCATTTAAACAGTCAAAACCCTATCGTTACGATACATATTTCAACAAAACCATCTGAAATAACCAACATCGAAATAATTTACAACGATTTTTTGGATGATTTAGAGAATTTGAAAGCCGAAGAAATTGTTTCATACGAATTATCGAGTAGCGAACATTGTCTAACAGATTCAATTTTACTTGGTGAAACTGAATTAATTTGGCCGACGACGAAAATCGGAATGACAGTACCTTCTTTAAATAGTATTCTCGATGAACCGTTAATGAGAACATGCGGTGGAAACTTTCAATACGGCGGGAAATGGGATGAACTCAAATTCGATGATAAAACAACTACCACAGAAATAATCGATGAAACAACTACTACGGAAATACTGGATGATACAACAACTACAGAAATATCCGACGAAACAACTACTACAGAAATACCTGATGAAACAACTACTACAGAAATACCCGATGAAACAACTACTACAGAAATACCCGATGAAACAACTACTACAGTAAGTTGAATCTTTCACCCTGAAACAGTAAAACACAAAATAATAAAAAAAATTACGTTTAGCATATTTTACACAAAAAAATATTGGGATTTATCTTAAACACTCATTTTAAACTGTAGTCATCTATCTATTCGGCGTATTTAGAGCTGTCGGTACTTTCTACTATACAAGAAAGAACCTGTATAAAAAATGACGCAATCCGCACCAGATGTGAGATTAGAAGTTTAGTGAAAAGTGTGTGTCGCTGAATTTTGTTGTTCAAAAAGGTATCTCTTAGATAAATGGTTATTAGGTGTGAGTTGTAAGCAGCTTCGTGTGTTGTGTACGTATCGCAATTACAATTTTCAAACATTTTTTATTTTTATCTCGAAAAAAGTTACATTTTGTGTTTGGTAAGTAAAAGCACCGTCAACATAATAACAGATATAATATTGAGATTGATGTAAAAATGAGCCAAGCGAATACAGATACGTTTTGGTACTTGAACAAAGCTTCCACTGATGAAGAACTTTTGGTTGAGGCTGAAAAAGTTTGTGTTGAATTAGAAAATCTCCCGTTAGATAATTCTGAACAGACAGACATAGAATATGAAGAAGATGACATTGTTATTACTAGTACTAGTGAGGTGCCTATGCTGGAAGATGAAGAAGAACCAACTAATCAAAATAAGGAAAGTGACACTGAAATGGTAGAAATACGTGGCAAAGAGCCCAAGAAGGAGAACAAGGCAGAAATTGATACAAAATGGAGAAAACCGGAAAAACAGACTGAAATTCCAGGATACGATTATCCAGAGGGAATAATTGGTGATACTTTTGCAACTTGCAATAATCCTACAGATTATTTTCTAACACTGATGGGTAACTGTGTGGAAGATATTACCTTTCAAAGTAATTTGTACGCCACCCAAAGACATAAAACGCTAAACTTAAAAGAAGAAAAGTTGCTGTGTTTCTATACATTTCTTAATGAGTTATCACAGTTTGCCAAGCTATAAACTCTTCTAGAGTAATACTGAAGACTTGGGTGTACCACTTGTGATACGAACAATGACCCGTAACAAGTTTCCGGAGATTTTATCGTATTTGCACGTCCACGACAACAGCATTAATCCTAAGAACAATAAGGATAAACTATACAGGACCCATCCGTATTTTGGAACACTTAGCCGTCAGTTGTCCAGTTATTATCATGGCACTAGGCAGTTGGCTGTGGATGAATGTAATTAGCAGTAGTCAGATACGCAGAGCACATTTCCGTTTACTTGTGGCGAATTTGTTTCGTTTGGGGGTGGTTAAAACCGTCTTTAGGAAATGAGTGCAACAAGATCTGGCCACACTATCTTATAGAGCAACGGTGGGCAAATGCGGCTCTTTGAAAGATTATTTGTGGCTCTCGATAAATGTACTCGGGGTCTTTTTTTTTTTAGTATATAAAATATAATTTCTCTAAAAAAATTGTTTTTAATACCTTTTTTGCATACCTTTTTAATATATACGTATTTAATTGCGGCTCGCGAAA